GTAAATTTGTTAGGGAAGAGAAAGAAAAAAAAAAAAAGAGGGGGAAAAAAAACAACTTACCCTCTTGGGAGTACTTTGAGCAAAAGACTCCGCTCCGAAGGTCGATTTTCAAGGACAATGGCGCCATTAATCTCCTTGTCGGCTTGAAATTGGATCAAATTTCCTTGCACCAAACGACGAGCCGATTCGATTACCCGACGATCCACATCAGACGATTCACCCAGGACTCCATTGGGCCGCTTCTGACGATGGAATTTGCATTTCAAATCCACACTCGGAATTGAGTATTGGGTACCATCATCGGCAATCACAGCAATCGCACCATGTTCAACTTGAACACCTGCCAAAAGAGCACAGGTTGCATGATAAGCGCGCGTGCACTTGCCAAAGTTACACTGGAAGCAGGCACCGCGGACTTCGCGGCAAAAGAGGCATTTAAGGCCCAGGCGAGCCTTGGGGATCTTGTCAATGTCACACACAACTTCCGTACCAGACGCATCACGGAGAATTGTGGTCTCTTCAATGAATGCGGCACACCGTCTATGCGCATGCCCTTTACCATCTTCGGTCGGGAGAAGATCCTCATAGTCCAGATTGTTAGGGCATAGCAAACACGGGAGCTTCCGTGGTCCTTCGGGGTGGAGTTTGGGTCGTTTGCTGTTCGGCCCGTCATCCGGATTCTTCCGCTTTCGGCCACGAGTGGATGTCTTCTCAGGCACACTACGTGGCGGCGTAAGAAGATCTGAAGCACCTTCGAATCCATCGAATTCGCTTTCGAATTCACCATAGTACTCAGGTGTGCTCTCGCCACGTAGCTTGCGTTCGATCTCGTCCACATCGATCCAGACACTGTCTGCTTCGCAGTTGCACTTCTTAGCGATGCGAGCATAGTCTAACCATTGCTCGGTCGCGAAGTTGACCGACTCAGCGCAATTGTATCCGATGTTATATCCAGAGTGGTACCCATAAGGGAATGTGATGACAAACTCCCCTTCGTAATGAACCAATCGGTTGACGGTGATCCCATATTGCGATTTAAGAAGGCTGGGCGAGACGAGATAGGTTTTGTGGCGAAGGAATTGATCGCAGTTCTTCGCATCACTGGACCAGATACTACGCATGGCCTGTTCAAAGCGAGGTGCATCTTCTTGGGAGATGCTGTACCACTGCTTAGGGGCACCGAAGTGGATGTAGTTGATGCTGTATAAATCTACATCCTCAAGATGCCAAGCAAAAGTAGCCTTCCACATGCCCATGTAGAGATAAGCAGTGTTGACACCGGGAACTTTCTGTCCGAGGACGTCGAGCAAATTGGGCAATTTGGCGACGTTCCAGGTTTCCGTAGAATCTTCGAAGAGCGAACCGGGCATGTCAGCTCCGTACATCGGGTTGTTGTACATAAGCGACTTCCAGTAATTAGTCTCAAGCTCCTCGCATCTTTCTGCGGTGTATTCTTCGTGATCGTGGATCCGGTAATCAAATCCTGTGTACGCCTCCTCGTCGACTTGATCCATAGCATCGCCTCTGTTGTTCTTTCGGCGTGAGGTCACGGACTTGGGCTGTCGTCCCTTCGGCTTTGTAGTAGGTAGGGACTCGCCTTCACTTAAGTCCTCGGTCTTGGGCTGCACCGGGTTCGTCTCGGGGGATACAGGCGTCGGGGGGCCCTCCAGTCTGGACTTTTCAGTGTCATCTGCAGGGGGCTCTTCCTTGACCTTGACCTGATTTGCCCGCTTAGGGGGACGGCCAGGTCTGCGTTTCTGACCCTCGGGGCGGGCAGACGGAGGTCGTGGTGTCGGAGCCGCACGGTTCGCGCGTTCTTGGTTTCGGCGTCTCTCTCCTCGGCGAGCGGGTGGTTGGTGGCTGCTTTCTTCACATAAACCCTTCCACTGAGGAAGATTGTACGAGCGTTGGCGTTCAATATTGGCTTGGGTGTATGTGCCGTGGGATCCGTGGAACTCTTGCATGATTGGGTTCTTCACTCGAATTTTCTTGACTGCCTCGTCCAGCGTTGGAAGAGACTCGGACCTAAAAGAACAACATCATGAGCACAGTCATCCTCATTGGTTTGAATTTGATCTACTCACCATTCTTTCGGAGGAACAACTTTCACGATGCCTGCCTGCATTCCATATTTATTGATTTTGTTGATGAAGCCCTGGAAGTCTCGGAATTGGTCCATTGTCTAAAATAATACCAAAGTCAGTCTGGCTCTAAAAGGTGTAGGCTGAATCCCCAACCTGGGCCATCGAACAGGAGAATTCGCGTTGCACTTACCGGCTTGAAGACAGGAACCTTGCCGCCGCCATAGTAATGATCGGGTTCGATTTCTTCAACGTCCTCAGCCTTCTCCTCCACTTCCTCTTGCTTGATATTGATTGTATCGGGTGCCGGGGCAGATTGGTGGTCAAGCTCAAGGTCAGATAACTCGGAGGGCACGCCTTCGGGCGCTTCTTTCTTGCCGTTGGCACTCTGCGGCGGAGTGATGGAGACGGATTCGACGACGGGATCGCCTCCGAGCGAGCCGCGCTGCGACTGATCGAGTGCTGTCGCCATCATCGAGGGCGACAGAGGAAGGTTGGTAGAGCGGATTGTAGTTGCCGTCGTCGGATAGTGCGACCGCTGATCGACGGCGAGAAGGGAGTGTTTCCCAGCGGTCGGGGAAATTGGGATCAAGTGCTGTGACCGAGCGAAAGGAAGTGCAATATTGTTGAGGTCAGAGGGCACCAGTATTGGTGTGTAAAGGTTGTCGGTACACTTAACGAGTGTACGGAGTACAGCGGAGGTGGATGAAACGATTGCGATAAGCTTTTCGGATGATTGTTTTGCCTAAGCTGAACGGAAAGGCGAGACTTTTTAGTCGAGTCACCAGTGGAAAACAAGAACTTGTGAGGCAAAAGATGACAGAGAGCTGGAGGTTGTAGGTGTAGTCAGAGGAAACCCTGAATGCAAAAGCAGTGCTAGGTTCTCCGTAGAAAAGGTAGAGGAGTGCAGCAACACCAGAAATAGACCAATCATGCAGGTGCTGGTGACGCTCGAAGGTGGAGTGCACGATGGGCTGATACTGAAAGGAGAGGCAGGGGCAGGTGGGCACAGGGCGAGGAATGATGGGCTTGAAATTGGACAAATCAGAGTGCTAGATGGGAAGGGTGGGAATCGTCCGATCAGAGAGCAAAGTGGAGGGCGACTTTGGCCTGGGCGCCAAAGGAGCCGCGAAATGATTTGTACCGTATCCGGTCTCGGACGGGTGAAAGGATCGCCAGGTTTCAGGGGGTACAAGTTGATTGAACAAATCCGAACTCACCAAATCACTAGAAGGGCAGTCAACGCCTGCGTCTCCAAGGAAATGAAATGAAGCAAAGGTGGTATCACGATGGTCAAGATAGAGCTTGGTCAAAGCACCTTGAAGCTTTCGGTGCTCGGTCACATGATGAGTATGTAATTTAATATTATGTTGTCTTTCAGTCACTTACCTGTTACTTTACCGTTATTTACTCAATTCCGCCATCACCCACACAAAATTGGGTCAGGTATTGTCACAAGACATCAGCCAATCTCGGATACCATCGGAGCGGACCTCAGTGTTTCTCCCTTGATGAGATCAGTGATCAAAATTCAGACTAACTGCGCATTAAATCCAGGATTCGTATCCTATAACACAAGCGCAATATAAGTTCTGGTCATTGTTGTATCTTTTATTAATTCCAAGTCGTAGGCCCTGGATTGTATCCTACATATGTAACTAAGCGAATTGTATACATCCATCCATCTATACTTGATCTGTAAACGCACTCTCTATATTAATCAAGCTATACCCCCAGGACTGGTATAATCTTCACCGGTCTCTCCGTGGTACCTCCTGGCATTATCATTCGTCTAACGTTCTTCTCCCGATCATCCTCTTATATTACCTGGAGAGATAAAGGTAAAGGTCCGTTGAGGCTCTGCGTTGGTTGGCCATACATGTGAATGTGGGTGCATTGTCTGTGCCTATGTTGCACAGCCAGGTGGGATATAGCTTATATTCAAAAGTATACAATTTGAATACATTTTTTTTTGAACGTCTCTGTACATGTACAAAGTACGGAGTAATGGAAAATACATCAGAGTGGACCATGTCAGTCTTTGGAAATTAAAGTGCAGATCTGCGGATGTATGAAGGGTCCGTTGTTTTGGGTTTCTAAAGTCTAATATTAGTTAGAACATTGAGGTCAAGGCATTTGGATCACCCTCTCTCTGTATGATCACCGACTATCTATGCTGTAGCTCTTAAGTCTATTGCACCCATTCATCGAACAGCTTGATATCCAAATTAGTATATCCATCGACAACCTCCAATCCCCGCAGGCGTTCCTGTTCGATGCGCTCCCAGGTCCACTCTTCGACATCCCATGAATCAGTATTCTCCTTCTGCTGCTTATCCATTGTCTCCTGGGAAGGAATCTGGTCGTTGTTTATCTTTAACACCTCTCGAACCAACGATCCATCCACCCCTTCTATGGCCGTGATACCTTCGCCACTACCAGGAGTCCCAACGCCGGAAGCCTCGGCCGAGGAATCGGCGTCGGCTAGTGCGGTCTTTGCTTCACTCTCTGGGGGCGGTGTCGGGAGGAACCCGCTAGCGCGTAGAAGCCGCTCCGGGGGAACAGTCAGCCGGCCCTTTTTGACCACGTACTTGCTAACGGCCACAGCAAGGACCACCCTTTCGCCGCCACTGTGGCGTGCAGGTCGCATGAAGCAGGTCAAGATGTACATCCACTTTGCATCCCAAGAGATCACCTTGGAGTGCATCTCATATAGTTCAAATGGCTTAATTTCACGCTTGAATGTGCAGTAAACAGATCCGAGCACAATGGAAACTGGCTTGCGCCTTGGTGCCGGCTTTCCCTCCTTCTTGCTTGCGGCTAGGAACTCCTGGTCTAGCTCCTTGCTCACATTGCCGACTCCAGGACTGTAAATTCGGCTCACGAGCGCCGTACGTGACACGTCCAGATCCGTGAAGTAAGTGCTGTTTGATTTGTGCAGATTGTAATCGGTCTCTAGCAACGGCGTGCGAGATGTGACCATGCATGGCACGAAGATGGGATGTGTTGGTTTGCCTCGGGAGTCCACGATAACTCTCCCCTTGGGGAGAAGTGGCGCACTGGGTTTCAGACGCAGGTTGCCCACGAAGTGATATAACAGACGGAACTGTCGACTCGGTCAGTAGTGTAACATGTGGAGAGGAAGCCAAGTCTGACGTCGAAAAAGGGCTAAGAAAAACTTACATGCCAGACGAATGGGAGATTTTTCAAATTAACCACTGCCAGAAGCAAGGCCAGGTTCCTCCATGAGGCGAGCGACATTACGCCTGCTATTATCTCGCGTGTATTCTCCATAATTAAACCCCAGATATGGAGCCACAGGTAGACCAACAGAGAAATAAGGGTCCGATGGTTTCATACAGGTACACTGGACAAGGCTTGACTAGGATATACTCCGGTTCATCTATAGATGTCTCGGGAGATAAGAACGGATGGGGTCAGGTAGACTTGACCAAAACGCATTTAAAGAGAGACAGAATGTATCACAAGGAATGAAATTGTGGACCCCGAAGTTCACCTGAATTGATAAGACCCCAAAGCCGAGCCTGCCGATCACAGATGACGACCATCGTGAATTCCCCTTTTGTTGGGAGCCGAGGCCAACAACTAGTTAGCCACGTGATACCGTGATTACTCACGCTCGTAGCCAGCCCGGGCGCCCGGGCGCCGGGGCCGAGCCCGGAGGCAGCCCTTTAGGGCGTATCTTCCTTCGGTGATACGGAGGTGGCGTTTGAGTAATTCTAATGGTAAACCATGTTGGCATAGCGATCTAACTCCGACTCTTGTACGCTCAAGTTTCTCCGTCGACATAACTCCTACTTATCATGACGAGCTGCCCCAAGAGACTCCCTCTAAATATTCCTTGTATTCCATCACCGAATGCCTCCCAATTTTCTACTTCTTTATCGCGCCAGCTAACTACCCATTTACCGCCCCTGGGAGCCTGAGCTTTCTCTCGGGCGATCGAGCGCTGCCTCTTATTCAACAGTAATATTACACGGTGAAGGACATACGCGAGCCCGTCATTTCGAATCGGCGCCGAGTCATTTGAAAAGTATAAGCCGGGGGCCTGTCATCCTATTATGATGGGGGATGTGCTCCACGGGCGATACCGCATCATTGACAAGCTTGGATTTGGAGGTCATTGAAGTAGATAGGCGCCTACATATATTCAATGCGTACATGCATGTATATCTTGGCATTCAGCACCCGCCACTTATAGATCTGTGATTCGAGATTCGTCAGAAATTTGTTGAGCTCATTGAATTTCATTTTATACCTTTCCGCTTGGAAACAAACCCCCATCAAGGGGAACACTCGGATTCTACTCTATTTCGTAGTGGCAGTGGATGGGATTTCCCACGCTCATTTGCCGAAGTGTTGAGAGTGCATTGCCATCTTCCAAAAGTAGTCTACAGAAGCGTAAAAAAAAAAGGAAAAAAAGAAAATACTCATTGCTACAGGATCTATATCGTTTGCGCGGAATATTCTTGCAACCGTGGGAAAAGGTTGTATATGCTTATCAGATTATACCAAGTGAAGACTACTGAATCGACACAAAAAGGACTAACGGCCATATAAGAAGGACGGATACTTCACAGCAAGCTGCGCAAAGCCAATGTCATGGCTACTTTTGACAATATAAATGGCACTCGAACATGGAGTAATACCCGTCCGATACCATCTGGGGCTCATTATACTCCCATATTAAGATGGCGAGAAACGAAACATCCAAATTGTATAGAGGAAAGGAAATCCCAAGGATATATAAAAGCATCAAAAAATGTCGCAACCTCCAAAAAAAGATATAAACGAAAGCGAAACGACCATACACAATAGATGGGAAAGAAGTATCAATAGTCTCTTGCTACACTCGACTTTGTTTTGGCTGATTGCGTGCACTTATCCTCCAATCAAGTCAAGATGGAACATGATCGAGTTTTCTAATTACGACGTTGGTCTCTGCACCGAATTATCCTTGCCTACCTCAATAACTCCTTTTCCTACTTCCCCATTGCTTCCCAGGAAACCCCAATCGTTTGTTATCGTTATTCTATTTCTCTATTATTGATCACTAGCGAATCTGACCAACACCTCTTTGTCAGGCAGTTTTACCTTGGAACTTCTTCCTAGGTCTGGGAGAGCGACGCTCCTTCGTCTACCGTCCTATATCCTGCTCGTCTCCGGCAATCCACGCGTTTCATCGCCCCCAAAACTGTCGAGACTTCGATCATGTCCGACGTGTCTGACGATATCACGCTTGCAGGCTACCTTTTCAAACGCCTTAATCAAGTTGGCCTACATACAGTGCATGGCGTCCCTGGAAATCACAACATCGCAACACTGAGAGAAGCCACCGGTACCGGGCTTGAATGCGTCGCACACCGTAGCGATCTTAGTGCTGGGCTTGCCGCAGATGGATACGCACGAGTCAAGGGCATCGCCGCTCTGATATCTTCATTTGAGAATATGTCATCCTCAGTCTCGACGGTAATCGCTGCCTCGTACCAGAATAGAATCCCAGTTGTTCTTGTCATTGGGACACCTCAACGCAAGGCGCAAGCTCAGGCTTCCAAATTCCACCATTCATTTTTCGACGCGCAGCCTGATCTTCCTCGACAGCCTGATGATTTCCAAATACTCGCTCACTGCTTCGAGAAGATCACCATCACCCAGGAGTTTCTTGTTCACCCTAGCGAGGCGACTGCCCAGATCGATACTGCCATTCGAGGATGTATCATGCAATCTCTGCCTGCTTACATCGAATTGCCAGAAGACTTGGTCAACAGCATGGTACCGGCCAAGGGACTTGTTCAGCGCCTGGAAGTTAACCCTCTGCCTCACGACACTGAGATGGAAAACACGATAGTGGCCAGCATCATGAACAAGATTAGGCACGCACAACGACCGTTGATTCTCCTGGATGCGGGTGTTCCTCTTGTAGTCTCATCAAGGAAGCAAACCTGCTGGTGAAAAAGACTAGATTTCTAACTGCCGCGACCCAGTTGAGCAGAGGTGTTCTAGATGAGACGCTCAAAAATTCCATGGAGATATCTCGGATTTCGATATGTACGGTTCATATTTCAGATCTTCCGACCTGATTCTCCATGTTGGGCCTATGAATATCATTGAGGGGGCTGATATTGCCTTGTTCGAAGCGAAGACAGCAGCAACTGTCACATTCAACAGGAATTCTGTCGTCATCGGGGACCAAAAATACGAGCTCTTTTCTAGACCTGTGCTTCAGCAAATTTTAAACTGCCTGAGTGAGAGGAAACTCCGTGACCTTTCGCTCTACCTGAGTTTGCCTAATTTCCGCGATAGCATTGATATGCTTCTAACTCGGAAAAAGACTGGACGGCTTCAATATGACATTTATTGCACATTTTGGCGACGGATGTCTCCTTTCTTCCGTGCAGGTGACATTATCTTGACTGAAGCCCGAATAGCCCAAGATGGAGCACGCTGTTTTGTTTTGCCGCGGGATACGAGCTTGATCAATACTGGTGCCCGAAAGTTACCCAGACATATGCTTGCTACCACCTTGGGTGTCGCTTTGGCACAACAAGGCCTTGCAAAATAAACTACCTGCTTTCACACGGACGAACAGTTCTCTTTGAAGAAGCCAAGGGGTTCAAAAAGGCCCACAATGATCTGAGAGCCATTCTCGACAAGAAGCTCAATCTTATTATCTTTGTGATTAACGATGGGGCACCCATCATTGAAAGTCTAATGCATATAATGAAATACCAACGACAAGATTCCGATCCCTGGAGATATTCAGAATCTGTTTCTTTCTTTGGAGCCCCACAAAAAACATCTTACCCAGTCTCCATCACCATAGCCAGAACATGGGGCGACTTTGATATCATTATCCATGATAAGATGATTCAATCCGGGATAGGACTGCACATTGTGGAGTTCATGTCAACCCCGGAGATCCAAATCAAAGCCCGTCTCTTCTTACTGAAATCTATCGCCCGGCCCCGAGCCCTTTCTCCTTGAAGAAATATCACCTCAAGCAAGATTGATTGCCGCCGAAATGAGATTGGAAAGACATTTGGAATCTGAAATCTGTAAGATTGGACAAGATACTTTGCAATACGATGTTTAGTTATCACAACTGTGCCCATAAAACGTAGAAAAGATTGAAACAACTTGGAGAGAAATACATGTAAGTATACAAGTATAGTCGGCCGCTTATGCGGCCGTAGTCTGATGTCTTCTCAGGTAGGCTTCTCTGATAGTCTTTCTATGTCTTTTTAGTGCTCCTTTTTAGTAGTCTCCTTAGGGAGTCTGTTTATACGTCTGGTTATGCGGATATTTTCTCCCTTCTCAGTTTGTTGGGTAGACACCAGAAAGGACCAAAAAATGCTTAATTTGTGAGCGACTTTCTTATGTATAGCCTTTGAATAAAATAGACAATATCTTTCTGGATCTCCCGGCCACGATGGCATTCAGGCACCGTCTATATTGTTGACAACTCTCGCATTATAGCCCACGTAGTAAACTCCTCCGACGAACCCCAGAAGCCCTTGGGACACTTCTGGCTACCAATAACGGCGAAGCCCTGTTTTAACCAGTAGCTACCAGTATCTTCTTTAGCAAACCGAGTCATAATCCGTACCGGAGAGGGAGAGGACACATCCTTTACATTCACCCGATGCCGATGCGAAACCTCCTCTTCACACGCCTTCACAAGATGTTCAGCAAGACCCCTGCCGCGGTATTTTGGATCTGGTGGAAGCGCAACAACAGCTAGCTCATAATCTCCTGGACCGACATGTCGGTGAGGCATCTGATCAGCACGTCCATTATTGGCTGCGTCTTCATCCTCGAGGGGATTTGCATCATGCCCGTGTTTGGTGGCAGGCGTCCAAAGGCCGTCGTCTTTCCATTTCTTCATACTTGCGGTCCCGATCACCTCGATCTTTTGATCTTTTCCATCTCCAACAAGCGCCACCGCAGTGAATCCGTCTGCACCGAGCTCCTTGGACAGATCGGAGTCGGTGGGTAGTCGGGTCTTGGTTGTGGGGAGTTTTATTTTGACGGTGTGGCTAACGCGCTAGCTGGCCTTCACCATGTGTGTGAGGTCTGAGACCCAGGGTCGATTGAGAAGATCTGACGATGTATAGACCTTGATATGGAAGGCCATTTTGGGGTCCATGGTTGGATCTGGAGCTGGAGATTCGCGACAGTCGAAATTGGCCAAGAGAGATCAATTGCTCGTCTTGCCAAATTCCAATGCGGGGTTGAACACATCCGTCCGCAGGTGGACGGAGCTGGTGAGTCACAGAAACCCGTGGACCGTTCCCGAGGTTATACAACCTGCCATAATCATCTCTACTCAAGCTGACGTAGCCGTGCGATCTACAAGTCTCTTTGAACTGGAAACCCGAAACAATGCATGATTTCTTCCGCTAATGTGGTCCGTAGGTACGGAATAGTGCTACGGAATTCGTTGTTGCAGGAGGCAAACAAGGGACATCGAATGGACCAGAAATGGCCAAACCACGATCATGGTTGCCCTCAAGCCAGAGCAGCTTAGAGCACATACTGCCATGAGTGAGCATATGATTTCAAAGAAAGAGTTGCAGTTAGAACTCACCGGAATGAAGAGGCTCGGAACCTGCTTCTCGTACTCATCCCATGTGACCCCATACTTGTTTTTACATTTGTTGATATCCCTCATGGAACGGTGGCCAATCATGACCGCGAAGAAAACAGGGTAGAACCAGGGAAGGGGACTGTCGAACCCGGTGATCAATGCCCATGACAAAGCGAAAAACATATCGCAGCTGTAATGGATCTTGCGAGCCAATCGATACCACCCATCAACGAAAATAGTATTGCCGTCCTCTGTCACGAGTGTCTTTGGGTTGTGGATATGTCTCCAAGGAAGCTGGGGAAATGTGTTGCGCTCCACCATTTTGCCTCGCTCCATCATGCGGAAGGCATTCTTCTGGCTGTTTGCAGTGTCCCAGACCCAGTAGACGCAAAGGTAGGACGCGAACAATACAATCAATGCAGTTTTGTTCCACGCATATGTTGACGGATGGCGACTATCCAGGTACAGAACGCAGTGGCAGTAAGACATTGGCACACCAGCCATGTTCCAGAAGATCAACAAAAATCCCAGTTTCTCCTGGTACATGTCCCATGTTGTGGTGATGAGGTGTTCTGCCTTGGCGCAGGCGTTGGCGTAAAGGAAATGCGCCATGACAAGGAACAAAACCTCACCAGATACGTATCCGTAGAGTTCATATTGACGAGTGGCAGCCGCGCAGCTCAAGCCCAAGAGCATGAACCATGGGATACGGACTTCATAGAACATCTTGAAGTCCAGGATCCCGAACAAACGTGGGTTCAGTTCGGCTCCCATAAAGAAATCATAGATTGGGTAGCCTGTGATACGGTGCTGGGCATCGCGAGCAAATGCAGAAAAATAAGCGAAAAAGCTGGCAAGAAACCCGGAAAGAATCGCCACGGACATCAGAGGACCGAACTCATCCAGGATAGTGTAAATGGGGAACAGTCTAGTGTAGTGCAGAACGACCATGATGACGATTGTGAAGTACAAGCTACTGTAGGCTGAGCAATAGTACTCCAGCCGCTTGCCTTCCAGATGGCGAAGAGGCTTCCCATAGCACGTGAATCCGGGCATGAAGATATAACATGCTGCCTCGAAGATGTAGAATGTCCAGTAGATGCGCCACGCCTTGAAGTGCGGGAATGCACCGGTGTAAACAAGGTGACACAGATGCTTTCCAAAGTCCGTCCAGGACTCTCCATTTTGTGGCAGAGGTAGCTTCCCATCATAGTAGGTAGCGCCGATCCACATGTACCACATTAGCAACGGAAAACCAATCATGAGTGCCAAGGTTCCGAGTGAACCACCGAACTCGAATTCCCCTGCGTAGTCCACCTTGGTATCCATGCCGGGTATCCATCCCCCAGTGAGTTGCGCTTGCTTGAAGTCATCATGAGAATTTGGTTTGTCGACAACCCGAGTGCCATGCTTTCGGCGAGACTTGACTTGGTCATTCATCTTGAGAACTTGAATTATGATATTAATTGAATTGATGGAAAAGCAAGGAACGGACGCCAACAAAGTACACTCACAGTTAAGGAATAGTAAAGGCTGATACAGGAGAAAGGAGAAGAAGGAAAGGGAGAAGCAGGATGAAAGGAAAATGAAAGAAGAAGAAGAAGAAGAAGAAGAAGAAGAAGAAGAAGAGTAAAGAGGAAGGAAAGTGGAAGGAGCGGAGGGACCCCGGAGTATAACCTTGGGAGGGCTGAGGCCGACGCAATGATACAGTTCCTGTTCGGGTTTAGACCCCGCTAGTCTTGTCCTAATTAGGCTTAGATCCCGCTACTAGCGCAAAAGATCCATTTGCTCTTATGTACCTAGGTATTTCATACCTCAGATAATTTAAAATATTCTAATTGACTTGCGGGTACAGAATACAGCTATTACTAGACCTTGATAATTTCTACCTTGGTTGTTGAGTATCATAGACTTGCTCGCCAGGTTTTTTCTTTGTAGATTAACCCTGCATACCGATGGTAAACCCTCCGAAGTTTCCCACAATTTGTCCGTTCTCGATGTCCTCAGATCCCGTTTCCTTAACAAATCACATACTGATGGATTCCAGTACTGAGGAATTGCTTATATGCAGCTTGTCAGATCTGGCTTTGTCCCTTTGAGATCCTTTATCCCTTTATCCACGTGGAGCTATGCTATACAGAGAGCTTCGTGGCAGTAGGTAGATCATGGATCATGGTCATGAACATGGATATAGAGCTAATCCTCTCGCCTTTATCATAGTCTCCCATTATATAAACTTAGTTCAATCGAATGACAGAAATACTAAGGGGATTTGGAAACGATATGACGTCAGGTGACCTTATCGAGAAATCGCATTAATCAGCGACGCTTATCAAACCGGCATTCCCCCGATCCTCCCCAAACGTTCACCTCACTATGACTGATCGGTCGGTCTCATGAATTACCAGACCATCAGTATGGACAGCAATGCCTTCGAACAGCGCCACCGCACTGTGGCAAGGCCATCTTTGGATCAGCAGCCTACAGATCCTATCGATGATCCAACACCAAGCTACCAATCTCCCGCCACATCCCCTCAGAGCTTCACTCCACGCTCACTTCTCGTCGGTCTTATTATCGGTGCCCTCATCACCTGCTCGAATACCTACTTTGGCTTGCAGACAGGATGGATCAGCACAATGGCCATGCCCTCGGCCTTGATTGGCTTTTCGGTCTTCAAGGTTCTGTCCAAATACCTGTCTTTCCCCTTCACACCGGTTGAGAATGTCTTGATACAAACGGTTGCTGGTGCAGTGGGAACAATGCCCCTTGGATGCGGATTTGTTGGCGTCATCCCTGCTCTGGAGTTCCTGCTGAAGCCTGGCGAAGATGGGCCCGAAGGCGATGGTGGAGAAGGCGAAGGAGGTCCGTTGAAACTCGACTTCTGGAAGTTGGTTATTTGGAGTCTGGGAGTCTGTCTTTTCGGGGTTGTATTCGCGGTCCCACTACGAAAAGAGGTCATCGTTCGAGAGAAGCTGCGGTTTCCGAGTGGTACCGCCTCGGCGTTGATGCTCAAGGTCTTGCATGGTTCTGGGAAAAACGAGAAGGTTATAGCGCCAGAGAGTTCACGTGCCGGAAATATGAGTACAGAGGCCGAAGCAGCTGGACAATCGCAGGAAGACACAGGCCTCTTGAAGGATGGCGATGCTGAAGACCAAGCTTCCAACGAGCAAGATTGGCGCTCAAAGATGCGCATCTTGGTTGGGTCGTTTACAGTGTCGGGTGTATATGTGAATATCCCAAAATTGGACTTTGCCAAATCTATGCTAACAAAATTAGACTCTCTTCTCCTACTTCGTCCCTCTAGTCCGTGCCATCCCTTTGTTTGGCGTGGCCATGGCAGACAACTGGCTGTGGACCCTTAATCCATCGCCCGCATATATCGGTCAAGGTATCATTATGGGCCCATCAACGTGCATGCACATGCTTTTCGGGGCAGTCTTGGGGTGGGGGGTTCTATCACCGCTGGCTAAGACCCGCGGCTGGGCCCCCGGCCCGGTTAATAAGTGGGAGGAAAATGGCAGCAAAGCATGGATTGTCTGGATATCACTAGCCATCATGCTTGCCGATTCACTCGTTAGCCTTGGGTGGCTGGTGCTCAAGCCCATCGTGAATCGCTCTCCAAGATGGATAGCCTGGTTCCGATCCACTCGCGCTGGTCAGTGGATTGCACTTCGACTACAATCTTCTCAGCACTCATATATCAACTACTCCGCTTTGGAGTCAGAGTCTCATCTTTTGTCCGAAGACGACGATGGCCATCACACACCAATAACTACAAGCAAAGAGGAAGAAGAGGAAGATGCACCACCATCTCAACTCATCTCAACTCGCACAGTGGTGATTCTCCTTCCACTTACTCTCCTGCTGAATGTCGTATGCATGCACTTTGTCTTCGGTGAAATAATTTCCCCCTTTCTATCGACGTTGGCGACTCTGCTCGCAGTGCTCCTGTCTATTATGGGTGTCCGGGCGCTTGGCGAGACCGACCTCAACCCAGTTTCGGGTATCAGCAAGCTGACACAGCTTCTCTTTTCACTCGCCACGCCAGCATCCCATTTCTCCAGACGCACCGCACTAGTGACCAACCTGCTCGCGGGTGCGGTTTCCGAGTCAGGAGCTCTGCAAGCCGGTGATATGATGCAAGATTTAAAGACCGGTCATCTACTCGGCGCAAGCCCCAGGGCCCAATTCTACGGCCAGATAATCGGCAGCCTTGTGGGTGCAGTTCTATCAACTGCCGTATACAAATTGTACGTGAACGTCTACGAGATCCCAGGCGAAATGTTCCAGATACCTACCGCATATGTTTGGATTTTCACTGCTCGCCTCGTGACTGGTCAAGGGCTGCCCGAAATGGCTGGACAAGTCTCTATCATTGCTGGTATTGTGTGGGCATTCCTTACCGTACTGAGGATCGCGGCTGCATCCCCTGCCCTTGCACGCAACGGGAAACCACCTCGTTGGAGATCTTGGATCCCCGGCGGTATTGCTGTTGCCGTTGGTATCTTTAACGAGCCTTCATTTACCCTGGCGAGAGCTATCGGCGGTATTATTGCATGGTGGTGGTCACGCAAGAACTCTGAATCAAGAACCAACCAACAAGTGGCCAATGGAAACGCCACTATTATGGGATCTTCTATAGAGACTGAGTTGCAGGATGGCCAGAGATCATCAACAACCGAGCAGACATCTGAAAAAGATGATTCCGCCTCCTCGACTGTCGTCGTCCTTGCTTCCGGCCTCATTTTGGGTGAAGGTATCATGAGCATTGTGAATCTTCTTCTTGCAAGTGGAAAGGTTCCACATCTCTGAACAGGAGGGATGAGAGAAAATTCTCAGGTCGCCATATACATTTTGCATTTCTTATGATTAAAAGAGACGTATTGGATTTAGACATGATGTTTTCGGACGATCTTAATTGAATTTCGGGTCATTTTCGGGGCTTTTGATGATTTCCAATCTACTACCACTTCCTTAGTACAACCTGTGCCATACTATTCCTGGCTTCAAATTGATCCTACATATTCCACACATGCGGGACTTTCTCAGAAGGTACCCTACAGGTGCAGTTGAGGAATATAAGGAAGGCCTGTGTTAACACAAACCATGTCATAAAATTGACGAAACGGCAACTTCGGTCTAAGGGGCTCAATATCCTTTGCCTCATGCTAAAGTTGATCTCATCCGTTTCTCAATTCAATAATAACTAAATCAGAAGAGCCTTGTTAAGTGCCCCCAGCCAGCAGAGTAGGCCGGCCCCGGCCGACAACCCGAGCCCGAAAATCCGAGAAACCCGAGAAACACCTAAAAAGCTTCACTTCTGCTGCATCAATTCGGGATTATCAAGCAGAAACCACTATCTCCGACTCGTAGAAGGGCACTAAATTTTTAAATGGATCCCTTTCGCCATTGACAATTGTCAATTGTAGGAGCGATCCGCTTGCTCCGACATCGGTATTTTAACGTCGATTTGCCGAAGGGACGTCCTACTACATATGAATCTTTGTCCATGAGAGTAGTAATTCGCACTCCACGGTGTTGATCGCGATTATGGCACGCATATGGCCGAAGGGCAGTCTTGTAGATGTACAAGCCAAGGCCGAGAAGGATTCCACAGCTCTTGATCCGGCATATCTCGTCAAGTGGGATCAGGATGATGTATCGAATCCTCAGAATTGGACCCCCCGGTACAAATGGTGGGTAACGTTCCAACTGGGCATGCTTGCATTGGCAGGTAGTCTAGGTTCAAGCATCACCACGCCGGCCGATGACACCATCGGGAAGTATACTGGCGTGAGCAGCGAGGTCGCGGTATTGGACGTGTCTTTGTATCTGTAAGTGAAGTCGCAAGTAACATACTAGAAATAATGCTAATGGTAATACCAGCCTTGGCTTCGTCTTTGGACCTATCATCTGGGCTCCTCTTTCAGAAATCTGGGGCAGAAGAATCAGCATGCTCCCCGCTGTCCTTTGTCTAGCACTATTCTCCATCGGCACTGGTGTAAGCACAAATGCAGCCTCGGTGTTCGTGACACGCTTTTTGGCGGGATTTTTCGGTTCTGCTCCGATTAGCAACGTCACCGCTGCACTGGGTGATATCTGGAGTAAAGAGACGCGCGGGACCGCAATCAGCCTGTATGCGGTGGCAGTGAACGGGGGCCCGGCGCTAGGTCCAGTGATCGGCGCAGCGCTCTTATTGAATCCTAACATGGGCTGGCGCTGGACTGCATACATTCACGCAATCTGGGTCTTCGTCATTTTCACTTTGACTTTCTTCTGTTTGCCAGAGGTATACCCGCTGGTACTACTTAAGCGCAAAGCACAGCGGCTTCGGAAAGACACCAATGACTCGAGGTTTTATCATCCTCATGAACATTTGAAACTCGACGTCAAATCGGTTCTTACGAAGCAGCTGGCCCGCCCATTGAGAATGCTGTTCACTGAGCCGATTGTCACTTGTATTGCCTTCTATGCTTCCTTTGTCTACGGCGTCATGTACCTTACCCTTGAGGTATTTCCAATTGCGTTTCAACAATCTCGAGGTTGGCACCCTCTTGTGGGCTCTTTGACGTTCCTGGGATTGTTGATTGGTGTCATATCCTCGGTGGGTCTCAATATCTGGAACCAATATCGCTATAACCGGATATCCGGCGAGGCAAATGGGAAAGCAGTGCCCGAAGCACGACTTCCGCCTATGGCATTCGGAGCGGTGTTCTTTGTTGTAGGGCTCTTCTGGTTTGCTTGGACCGCTGAACCACCTCACCACTGGATCTTGCCGTGTCTGGCAGCTGTCTTTATAGGCATTGGGTTCAACTGCATTTTCCAGCAGTGTTTGAACTTTTTGATTGATGTATATAAGATCTATGCCGCTAGCTCAACGGCGGCTGTTACGTTTCTTCGGAGTTTGCTGGCTGCCGGGCTTCCCTTGGCGGCTAAACCGATGGTCAGGGCTTTGGGGATTGGCCCTGCTCTTTCCATTGTTGGAGCTGTGGCTGCGATTTTATTGCCAGTACCCTTCTTGTTTATGAAGTATGGCCCGAAGCTGCGGGGATTATCAAAGCTTGCGCCTGAGGATTCCTAAGATAGCTCCCTCATCCATATATCCCTAGACAGAGTTTTGGTGTACCATTTTGGGGTAAGGCGAAAATAGATGGTATTCGGCTGTCATCCCAATCCTAATCTCTGTAGCCAGTCACACTGGTCCAGTCATAGATAGTCTTAGTTATTGACTTCGAATGTACTTTTAGTCTTTTGTATCATCTTCAAGGTCATCTCAAAAAATCGATTATTGCATACTCTATATATATCTGCTTGTTTGCTTTCTTCAAAAACGTCAAAAGATAAAAGACAACCAAAAGATCCTCCAACGTGAGACAAGACAATGCCCTATAATTCAATCAATGCTGTGCAGTTGCTGGTGATCATCTGCGTTAGCAGTCAAGGGCTCAATCTCAAATCTCACCATGAGTTGGTACGACTTATACCAGATGACTACTCGAGAGATACATTTTGTACCTCTGGGGAGAGATGATATGAGAAGGATGGCAACTGCTTTGCCCAACTTTGTGCCGAGGATTTCCTGATACTCAGCAGTGCCACGTTCGACTTTTACGGGTTCCAGGCCATCCGAAGAATCTAAAATGAGTCCACGACTGGGGTAGAGTACACGCCTGATATATGGTGCAGTCGAGTCATTGACGACCTGGGTAAACATAACATACCTCAAAGTGTCCATGGGATGGTCCAGTGTATACACAGCCCTGGCCAATTCATTCCACTGAATGTTATCGTACCGAAAAATAGATTTACCAACAAGCAGGCCTGGTCCGACTTTGTGTGAGTACATATTCTCCAGATAGTTATTCATACGGTCGGCTAGGATCTCTTGGTCCCTGACTGTGTTGGAGAATGTTGTCACACGGTACTTTTCACCGGTAGTAGGGAGCCCCGTCGTCTCGGGTTCGCCTCCATCCATAAGATCACCCAGATCTTCGTGATAACTGTCTTGGCATCTGAAGCGATCTTGGTCCGGGGCTTGGGTCATCAAGTAGTCTATAGTTTGGGTCGCCGGGTCAATATTGCAGTTTGGTTCGTTTGGATCTTCTAACCAAGCTTGTAGTTGAGCTCCTTTTGCTCTGCATTCGTCGACTGTCGCTGCCATAGGCGTGGCACACAGCGCTTCGTCCGTGTTCCAAGTGGAATTAGTGGAACTGTTAACTGGCGGAGCAGAGGATGGTGCTGGAAAAGCTAGTTGAGGACCAGCAGGAAGTTGTACGTCTTCATCCTGGGAACCCTCCACACCCGTAAGACGCGGACACTTATTAGAAGAGGAAGCTTGACCCGATTCCTGATCTACATCCTCAATATGTGCGTGCGTCCGCTTCCTGCTGTCAGATGAGCGGCTCTCCGGTGCGCTCTCCCAAAGGCCCCCTTGCAGAATTTGACCCTCAGACTGGGCCGCGGCCCCAGACGTGGTTGGCACATGACCGAAGTACAAGTAATCGTCGGATGAAGACTCACTTGCACCTTCACCAGAAGGATCATCCTGTTGGACCTGAGGGTGGGATAAGAAGTCTTCGAAAGGGTAGTTCAATAATTCATCGCCAGGTGCGGCATCTGGCATTTCAATATCACTGACAAATCCCCGGGGAGAGGCATGGTCACTTATTTCATCATCACTGGCGTCGTTAATATCGACATCACTCATTTCAGGCGTGATGCCCGTGTGAGAACGGTCTCTTGACGGCGGGAGTTGGGGGTATGCTGCATCGCTGCTGTTACCTTCACTGTCATTGACGACCTCCTGTTGAGATTTAGCTGGCTTTGGGGCTTTGGGCGGCGCTGGGGCTTTGGGCGGCGCTGGGGCTTTGGGCGGCGCTGGGGCTTTGGGCGGCGCTGGGGCTTTGGGCGGCGCTGGGGCTTGGGGCGGCGCTGGGGCTTGGGGTACAAAAGGCGCAGGGTAAGCCAGCTGCGGTGGGTTCTGATACGATGCATTTTCAGGCGCCGCTTCAGTTCGGGGGAGTATTGGGCCGTCGGAATCCGAGTCAACACTGCGGTTGCGGCGGTTGCGGCGGCGTCGTCCCAAACATTTTCTGATGCTGCGGGCGAAACGCTTCATTGTGATGGTTGAGGTAAGGTATATCTTGGACAATTGGATTGACGGGAAAAGTTGGAATAAAATATCCCGTTGGTAAGATCTGTTGTATTGTGATTGCTGAATGATGATGTTGGAATGAAGAGCAACAGACAGATACAGGCGAAGTTACATATACCTTTGGCCAATGTCTCTGTTTCTGCTTAACTTGGGTCCGACTCCTAGTTCTTGGAAAGATGAAACATCACGAAAACAGGGTCACCTAAAATAAGACCAAATATAACAAAGGAGGTGAGGAGCAGAACAATGGAGACAAGTGCATAGAGAAGCGTTTCAAAGGCCGGGATAGAGAGACTCGAACTTGGGTTGACAATAAGGACGACTAATTTGGGAAATCCAAGGATAGAACAAGGAATGGACAAAGAGCAGTTCTAACAATGTTCGTCCAATTACACCTGTGAACCTGAAGTAAATAAAGCTTTATCAAAGAAAGGGCTGAAACACCTACCATGTCCAGCTAGTTCCTCCAAGCAACAATGTAGTCTGCGATTCTCGAATATCTAAGCGACGAAGACAGTGAATTGTTCAAGGACAAGCAAAGACCAACACTAAGTTGCTCGAATCAACAATGCCCAGGTGTAAATGACCAGGAAATTTGAAGTATTGTCAAAGAGCACTATCTGTAGATCTTCAAGATATCCATGGATACTCTCGTTTGATTAAGTCTCCAACTCACAAAGCGACTTCGGTGGTGTTTTGGAAGATCACAGTTCCATAATCATCTTGAGGCCCCACGATTCCGAGACATAGCCAGGGCATGTCGTCTCATGCGTATTTCCTCATATTCAGCCGCACTTTTCCAGAGTTGTTCGATCCCGTCTTTGATAAACTATGTTTTCTCATCCAGGCTTTTATCCAACTTCATATTGTACTCCTTTTGCCAAGCTGCGCATGGCTGAAACAAAGAATGGAGTGTTCGACGCAAAAACCCGCCCAATCTCCATTTCTCGTCTGCATTCACATAATACAACTTGGAAGGGTGAAACCACAATGTATAAAATGTCTCTCGAAGCGGAAGCCGCTCACTTTTTGGTACTCGGCACTCTCCATCGTTGAGCATAGTTTCGGAAGCATAGCATGGCGGAATGAACCCCAGTGCTTATGCTGGAAAGGGAAAGGGCGAAAGCATTGACAAGAAAGGATGGTAGGTGGCTTGAACTCTCGAATAAAGTCCAGGATCAACTCGAACATTTCGGGGATAACTTGATCGCGCTTGTCAGGGTGTTCATCCAACCATTCGTTGGTCAACATTGGAAATAAATCCATGATGATTACATCGTCAAGTCCAAGACTCATCTCATCTAGGGCATCTTCCAGCCACGTTAGAGTTGCAGTCTTTTCGACCATCTCATCGAATGGGAGGTGCTCATCCTTTGGATTCAAAAGCAAGATACATGGGAAAGTGCGAGTCCCACACAGCAGTCTTTGGAAATTTTCGAATCGTTCCATCGGCCAACCATGTTTTTGGCAGAGTTCCTCCGCTCGGTCGAAGAAAGAATGCGTTCGATCAATTCGCTCGAGGCTTTGTGCTGCCTGAAGAGCGGGCTGGAGTGTATTTTTTTATAAACTCGTCCAACTCGTATGACATAGGTTCCTCGTCTGCACGGCTTGAACTTCCGCTGACTCGCAGACGAACAAGTTCAGCACTGAGAATTTCACCAGTGAGAAGCTCATCTGTGCCCGTGGTCATTTTGATCGTGCTTTGGGACTTTGTCGCCTTATATCACGCGAAGATATATTAAGAATAACCCCCCAATATGTAGTCGGAGCTGTGTTGAAAGAAGAGAAATAAAAGGTGTCATATTCCTAGAGACAGAGTTTAATGTGCGTGTCATGGCGATGGAGGTACCATGAAGATATCATAATGGCGTAGAATGACCCGTACAGTGAAGGTCTACTCATTAAAGAAAGAAGAGCTATGGTGTTATGGGAGATATATTTCAAGCTGAGTTATCGAAGACAAGGATCAACAGGTACGAGGGCCAGGCCGGATCACAACTTCAGCCCGGCTGATAGTCCGACGGAGGTTTTAATAAAAAATTCATTCCAACATCCCGGGATGTTCATCTATTTAGGCAAGCCGCATGTGTAGGATGTCGGGTGCCGCTGACGTCCTCAATATATTAATGGCTCAGGTATCCGGCTGAACGCCCCTGTTCCTGAGACAGAACACAGGATATTATTTATTTATTTCCCTAGGCACTATATGTATGCATCGGAATATTTTTCTCTGAGCCTCAACAGGCGATTGCCTTTCCATCGTACTTTCGGTGTAACATTTCCCATTCACTCGGGTCCATGCGGCGTATTTTGGCGCATTTGGCGCATGTCATCGATGAGTGTAACAAAGACTTACCTAGAACTTTCTTGAGGGTATCCCGTCTTATTCGCTGACGGATGGTTGCATTGGTCTTGGCTGGCTTGGCCGTGTCTTTTGACTCTCCAACCGAAATCCGTTTCCCTCCACTCCATAATATATCGGCAGTGGCAGTGGCAGTGCCGAGGGATGCAACCATTTGCTCGGATAAAAACGGAAAAAGACATAACCTAGGCAAAGATACCAAATATGGCATTATCCGCACGTTCCTTTCGAGGCTTGCGCCATGACAAGCCATGATGCCGCCAAGCGATGACTACCTTCTACCTAGGTACTCGTAATTATTTCCCTTTAAAACAAATCGAACAAAGCGGTAAATTACATCGAACTCCTCGATGGATGTAGTTAGCGTTGAATTCCTTCGACCAGTCACAATCCGGAGAATCCGCCCCCAAATGGTCACCCCATGGAACTTCCCCCCATCCCCGCGTCGCCCGACGCCTTCCCCGTATCTTGGCCAGCCCCAGACACTGGAGATAACCCCGGTCACCTCGGATTACCGCATTTGTCAATCCGGAAGTTGAAAGGGTGGGCTATATAACCCGCTGATCGGCATTTTCATCATGTTGTTTTGCTTCGATCTTCTTTGCATGTTTGGACATCATGTTCGGCATTCCGAAGTTCTTTGGCTGGAGAGGCCGGTCTCTCAACTTGGCTATCAGTTCCCTTGGTAGTCTTGACTTCTTGTATGATACTATTCCAATTATTCAATTATTCAGAACTCTGCGACTAACCGCTGTAGGCTTTTCGGTTATGATCAAGGTGTCACGGGTGGTCTGCTAGACCTACCGTCTTTCATCAAATACTTCCCCGCTATCAATCCTCTAGATCCAGCCATCGCAGGTGATGAGTTCCAGCCCATCCGATCGCAGCGCAGTTTGAACCAAGGCATTGCAGTCGCATCGTACAATCTGGGATGTTTCATGGGTGCCGTCTTGACTATCTTCATCGGTAATCCGCTTGGTCGACGGAGAACTATCTTCTGTGGCTGTATGATCATGGCTACTGGGGCCCTCTTGCAATGCACCTCGTATTCCCTACCTCATTTCATTGTCGGCCGAATTGTCACTGGTGTTGGCAATGGAATGAATACAAGTACCGTACCGACATGGCAGTCCGAGTCATCAAAGGCCCATGATCGTGGTAAGATGGTGATGATCGAGGGTATGCTGATCACGGGAGGTATCACTCTTAGCTACTGGATTAACTACGGTAAGTGGAATCCACACCTATTCGATATACGTTCAGAGGTGCAGTTACTGATATAATCGAATTAGGCATGTCATTCATCGGAGAGAAAGAGGTCGCCTGGCGGTTCCCTCTAGCTTTTCAGATTGTCTTCGCCATCATTATTTTTTGCTCTATTCTCAACCTCCCTGAGTCCCCACGATGGCTTGTCATGCAAGGCCGGAACGACGAGGCTTTGTTTATTCTCGAGTGCCTGAATGAGAAATCTCGTGATGATCCCTACATCAAGAACGAGCTCATCGCCATCGAGGAAACTGTCAAGGAAATGAACAAGGGCTCTTATAGAAGTCTGTTTAAGATGAGCGAGTATCGAGAATTCCATCGTGTGGCACTTGCCTACGTCAATCAGATGTTCCAGCAGATCTCTGGAATTAATCTCATCACCTACTACGTGAGATCCCCTTCCCCACTGAGACGTTAGATGGTATGCTAATCAATTTCCATTAGGCGCCTTCACTGTATGCCGAGATTGGTCTTGGAAAAGGCAATCTTCCGAAGTTGTTAGCTGCTTGCAACGGCACGGAGTATCTGATGGCTGCATTTATTCCTATTTTCATTATTGAGAAAGTTGGACGTCGCCCACTGATGTTGTTCGGCGTATGTCTTCCCACTCATGTCCCATATCGATATCCCATCAACTAACCAAGAGCTATAAAACTAGGCCGCCGGCATGTCAATTTCAATGGCCGTCCTAGCCGGTACCAACTACCGCTTGACCAAACTGGGTGACAGCAACGCCGGTATCGGACAGGCAGTTTTCCTTTTCGTGTTCAACACCTTCTTCGCCATCGGTTGGCTCGGAATGACCTGGTTGTACCCAGCCGAGATCGTGCCTCTGCGAATCCGTGCTCCAACAAACGCCCTCGCCACCAGCGCCAACTGGATCTTCAACTTCATGGTCGTGATGATCACACCTGTTGCATTCGAAAATATTGGATACAAGACCTATGTCATTTTCGCTGTCATGTAAGAACCCCAAACCCGCATTAGCCCTAACCCAGGACTCGAATCTAACAACGGACAGAAACGCATTCATGTTCCCCTGTGTATACTTCTTCTTCCCGGAGACACGCTACCGTTCCCTGGAAGAGATGGACGCCATCTTCAAGAAGTCTACCAATGTTTTCAACGCCGTTACCATCTCCGTCAAGGAACCTTACCGCTACGATAAGCACGGTGAGCTCAAACCAGAGTACCTCGAGGAGGCTATGCGCCATGCCAGTGCGGATGTGCATATTGCGGGCGCGAAGTTTGATAGCGATGAGAGTGGCACTGAGGTCAAGGCTTGAGTGAATGGAAGATGGGGATGTGTATGTTGGTGGATTTCGTTTATACCCGTAGTGCTGGTGTGATTTGATTCTTGTATCTTTTCACTGAGACTGTTTTACATGGCTTTTAGATGTGAAGGGAGGTTAATGAAGGACATTTTTGCGTCGAATTTTCATTAAAGGTCATTTATAAGGAGATATATCTAGATAATTGTAAATGAACTTTCATTTCACGACTATATCCGACGAGGATGACGAGGATCTCTTCCTTCTGAAGTGGATGAGTTATGCTATTTTTAGCGCTCACTCCTATTGAATATAAGTGCACGCTAGCAGTGCATTGACAAGGACATCCATAGATGGAAATGTAATATTCGTCAGTAAATTCTACATAGCTATGTAAACTATCTGTGGTGGAACAAGTTGAAGGATCCGGGTATTCTAGCTCATCTCAGCGTGACATGCATATCATTCGAGATCGATGTCAAACAAGGAACTCGAGGAAAATGCTTGCAACTTCGAATCGAAGAGAAAAAGGAAAGGAAAAAAAAGGCTGTGAAACAACACAAATAAAAAATGAGGCAAAAGAAAAAAAAAAGTAGATATCAATAGATGGCCGGCGTTTTGTTAACATTACGTGGATGCCGGTGGAAATACAGACAAGAGGGCATCCAGCACACGGACGGAAGATTCTGAAGATGAAAACGAAATGACAAATAAAATGATTCAGATGCGGAGATATGCATCCAGCGCAAAGCGAAGATTCAAGGATGGTTCGTTCGTCACGGACACGGGGGGTAGGGGATATCAAGATCGAGGCGAAAAATTGGTCATATTAGGCAAGCTCATTTCCGTCCAGCGGGGCCACTGACATGTCAGTGGGAATGCCTATGTTCTGCATAAGACGGAGGCTCTATACAGAGATGAGGGTCATTCAACTAAGCGTCCCGGGTGGGGACAGGCTTTCGCGAGATCGAGCCGGACGGAGAAGTCGGCGGGGAAGTCGGAAGAGCTGGAAGCTCGCTGGTAGGAGCAGGTGTAGGTGCAGCCAAGGGACTTGGCATTGGCGGCGCAGCCGGAGCAGGTGCAGGAGCGGCTGGGAGACTCGAAAGTTCCGGCGCAGTGGGAGCGGGAGCGGGAGCGGCAGCGGCTAATGGACTTGAAACTGCAGGCGCAGCGGGCGCTGCCATAGGAGGAGTGACGTTGCCGGCACTATTGCTGCGTTGGCGTTGGTTGACAGGCATCACAGGCCGCTGCATTCCGGGAGGTCCGTATGGACCAGGGCTCATCGAGCGCGGGCCGGGCCGGGGACCAGGAGACATTGAGCGAGGCATTCCTCCGGGCCCGGGAGACATTGAACGAGGACCGGGAGACATTGAGCGTGGGACAGGTCGTCCTCCAGCTCCAGGCGACATTGAGCGTGGAACAGGCATTCCACCAGGTCCGGGAGACATTGAGCGAGGCCCAGGCATACCTCCAGGCCCAGGCGACATAGAGCGGGGAACTGGCGGGAACTGGACAGCAGATCCAGGGCCAGGGTAAGGGCGGGGAGGCGGAGGTCCAGAGAAACCAGCGCCACCGGGGGATCTCGGGCGGCCGTCCTGAGGATAGAATCTTGGACCCGGCGGACCACCAGGCATCATCGCGCGACCGTCAGGGCCCATGATGGGTGGGCCGCGCGAGCCGGGAGCGCCAGGGGGAGGGCGGGCGCGAGGCATCACAGGACGAGCCGAGAGGCAAGACCGTGGGGCAACTCCTTGTTGAGGGCTATTAAGGCGCGTGCAGAGAGCCCATCCATCGTCGTACTCATGAAGCAAGCGCACGAGCGCTCCAGAGCGAAGTCCAAGCTCGTCCTCCATAGTGGGGTTGAAATCCAGTTGCACACGGTAAACATTGTTAGGGGGTGGGCCAGCAGCCATGGCTCCTGCTGCGCCTGCAGCTCCTGCGGCAACAGGGCCAGCGACAACAGGCGAGACAGAAGGAGCATCGGTGGGGACGGTCGCAGATTGGGTTGAGCCAGTGGGGGATTGGCCACGTGATTCGGCGGAATGGTAGCGGTCGGAATCATTGGACGCTCGTGATGAAGCAGCAGCACCTGCCGCAATACCCACGGCTCCGGCACCGACTGCGGCAGCTGCGACGGTCGGCACAGAAGGTTCAGTGGTCGATCCAGACGGTCCGGCGGTCGATCCAGTAGCTGCTGGTTCAGAAACCGAAGGCGCGGGCTGGGTAACAGGGGAGGTGGCTGGGCTGAAAGGATTGACAGGGTCACTGAACGGGTCAGACTTGCTTCCAGCAGACTTTGGCGGAGTAGGAGGCGGAGTGTCGCCAGTGAGGTTACGAGAAGCGACGGCGGCCGAGCCAGCTGCAACACCTGCAACAGCAGCGGTGGCTGGGGTCAAACCCCCGGAAGCACCAGCAGTGGCTGGGTTCAAGGCACCGCTACCGCTCAAATCAGGCGCGAATTGAGTGACGGGACGAACGTTAAGCTGTGGGGGCGTCGAAGGAGTCTGCGGCTTGGAAGGAGGAGGGGGCGGGAAAGAAGCCGCGATACCCTCCGGCAGGCCTTCACCACCGAAGGTCTTCTCATTCTCCAGCTGATATCCCTCCTGACTTCTCTTCTTCTTGCGGATAAAGAAGAAAATCAGGGCAGCGATCACACCAACACCGAAGATGACACCGATGGCCACACCAGCCTTCGCGCCACCAGTCATACCCTCAGAAGTAGTAGTCCCAAGAGCAGTACTTGAGGCCGAGGCGGCAGAGTCTTTGGTCGATCCGGTGGAGGTAACCGTGAGAAGATCATTGACATCCTGGGAAGATCCAGAGGTGGACGATGCCGAAGTCACAAAAGATGTTGTCGTGATAGGAGCCTCTGACTCAGTAGTAGCAGTGGTTGCTTTCTTAGTCTCGGTGGTCTCCGCCTTAGTTTCGTGAATGGTCTGGGCCACGGTCTCTTTGGTGGTAGTGGGTTCGTCCTTCGTCTTGGTTGTAGTCGCCTCATCGGTAGTTTTGGCCTCGGTTGTGTGCTCCTTGGTCCTTGTAGGCGCGCTGACAGGATCACCGACACCAGCATTTATTTGCGTCGCAGTCTTGGGTTGGGCGCCGGTCACATAACCTCCCACCTCGCCTTCAAAGTCCGGTTCCATAGTCTTGTAAACAATCACAACATCGCCTCGCTCCTCGACGACTGCTCGTTCCTCAATATTTCCTTGCTCCTCTGGTTCCTCCACATTGCGTCCATGGGTGTGGTGCGCATGCCCATGCATGTTGTCGACTTCAGTATCCTAGGATATCGTGAAGCGGTGACGAGGGTTAGTTAGGGAGGGAGATCCAGAGCAGGTATTGCTCCTAAAGAGAGGGATAAGCCCAGATTCCAAGACGAGAATCCGCGTGTCTGTGTCGATTCCAGCTGTGTGGAATGTGGATAGAAAGAATGGACGACTGAAATCGAGCACCGCCGATTGTCAAGTCGAGAATAAAAGAAAGGACGTCGACTTCCAGGTCGTACTAATTGAAAGAAAGGATGGGAAAAGGATAAAAGAGGCAAAAAGCAAAGAGCAAAAGAGAAAAGCCTCAATACGAGAGAGCCCCGGGGTACCACGAGGAGCCGAAATGAGATCTTGGGACCCAATGTGTATACAATAACATGCTAACCCAAATAGGCAGCGATACTCTGTTTCCCTCAATCTGATTGGCTGTCACACCGTACCTGGCCAGAAGGAGCTACCAGACCCACGGCCGAGAACCCTTGCAGACCCACCTCACTTTAAGTCACCTTTTTGGGGCTTTTTTGAGTTGTAGATGGACTTTTCTACTCGATGTACGTATGGAGTACTAATTAGTATGTATAGTGAATTTCAGCTTAAAATATCCCTGATATATAACCTAATTTACCGGACACTTGGCAAAATACACGGGAACTCAACAAATCTCATCACTCGGCACCTGCTAGCCCCGTTTGCCCCCGGCCCCCAAGTGGCACGTTCGCTAAAGTGTAGCCCTGCACGCGGGCCCCGAGGGGCACAGACTCCATGGCTGTTTCACCCTAGCACAACAGCCACATTTAATTGATCGCTCACACAGCCCGTAATTTCCGACGGTGCCGGGAAATTCAATTTTAATCAATTCTAATTTGATCAATAATAATAATGCATGGCACCCTTCCAACCTTGTGCGCCATTCTTGCTGCCTCTCATGCAGGTCCCTCAGGGGTTGCGCTGGACCTCGGAAACTTCATATTAATAATCTGTTACTCCGTCGGGTGCCTCCATGTAAGATACAATCATGTCCGCCAACAACGTTGCAGGCAGTAGATGTCCATATTCGGTACTCCGTATGGTGCATAAATTAGTTGAGTATGGAGCATCTATGGATGCATCCGTGTGTTAATAATTCAGTCGTGAGTTCCACGCTTGTGATTCCGCGATCCACTCGCGCGGTATAACCCGAGGAGGCGCAAGAAAGTGTGGCGTAGCCCCCTTCATACGCCCATATCATACCATCGCTTCAGATCCGAGCAAAATATGGATGGGCAAGGGCCTAAGCCTATTGTCAGAGGTTATTGTGAGACATCAGGTCAGATCACATACCTCTGTTGCCGAGAGTCTTTGGCTGCTCTCGTAGCATAATAGGTGGCTGACTAAATCACGCCCATTCGAAGATGCACCCGGGAGGATGTCCTCCCAGGTCTGCCTGGGGAACGAGTGAAATTCCACTTTGCCCCAATCTGGCAAGACATGGACTTCCTGCTCAATGGTCATTAATGACTTTTCCATTCGTCGTAGGTGTGACGCTTACCGGCCAGCGCTGTTCATCCGGAGTGCCCAGTAGTTTGAAGATCGAGGAAATTAGCGACAGATCGCTGCCCACGGGCCCGGAGTCGAAGAGCTGGTGGTGGCCGATCGCAATGGCTTCTGCTACTACACAGCCAGCAGCCCAAATGTCGAGGGATGTCCCATACCCTTTAAACCCAAACAGAATCTCTGGGGGTCGGTAGCAGGTCGTGCCCACATCGGTGATTTTCTGTGTGGATGGCTCTGACCCCAAATCGCCTTCTTTCCATGAAACGCCAAAGTCTGCCAAGTAGGCTGGTCCGTTGGGAGAGTCCATCAAAATATTGGAAGGCTTGATGTCCCGATGAAGTATCCCCATGCTGTGGAGATGGGCAAGGGCACGGAACAGGTCTCGTAAAATCAATCGTGTTTGAGCAGCACTTACCATGTCTCGCCGGAGCAAGTGCTCGAAGTCATATCGCAGAAAAGGAAATACCAAGACAAATCGACCACCGTCAAGATTAAACGTTTCGATCAATGGGATTATATGCTCGTGAGAAGCTTCGCGCAGCAACCGTGCCTCACGGTGAGCATCATGGGGAGCTGTCATCATATGGGGAATAGTGACTTTCACTGCCCGAATAGTCCCATCTTCCAACTTCGATCTGTAGATGGCGGAGTGGAGGCCAGCAAAGTGGTGGAAACACGACCGATGTGTACCGATCACTTCCCCGACTGAGGTCTCTGGTTCACGCTCATCCTCGACATGCTGTGGGCTGCTAGTGATCAGCTTTGCGGACGCTGCCAATTCAGCTTCATCAATTGCCTTTTGGCAGATATAATCATATTCGTCCTGGATGGAACAGTGTCAGTCGAAATGGTCTTTGTTGGTTTATGTCAATTTCTTATAGGCTCACTTTTGAGGTCGCCTTGTCATACGCCTCGGTTTCAAGCTGCTTTGCTTGAGCTATAGCCTCTGCAAATGCGGAGGCAGGTGTGGAAGAAGCATGCTGATAAGCTGTTGTGCTGCACTCGCATCAATCTAGTGCTCATCTTGTAAACAGAAAAGTCGCTTACAGAGACTGTATGGCTCGCAGCCGGTCTGTGAACCCGAAATTGTCCTTCCAGGACATGATGGACCGAGAACGACTGCTAATCGAGATTGTATGACTTCTACCGTATACTGCCTTGCAGTTACTGTACCAGCGTATAGCCAATAATCAAAGCAAAGTAAATATAGGGGGAGGTCTATTCTATCATGGAGAGTTGCTATCAGATACCAACCTGAGGCAACAAGGCGCCAACATCCACTGCCGGGATGATATCATGTGACCAATGAAGGAGTCGTTACTGTTCTGTTACGTTAATAACAGCCATTCAGGCCGTTGTGGCAGATTTGATACCGCCAAGCGCTGTATTACCGTAACCACCTCCGTCATTCCATCCCCGTGCCCGTCCCCGGCCATCATCGAATGACACGCTATCAACTGACACTGGCATTCGGTCCCGATCCCGCGTTCATTTCCCTTCCTTGATTGGGCTGTTCTTGCCGCGAGCACTGCAGGAGTCTCTTGGTTCTCCCTTTTATGTTATGCGCTTCGTGCGCTACCTTGCTCAATACCTCAATACCCCGGAATCTGAATCATGGACCTCTCACGGCAAGAGTACCCAACGCTGCTGGTAAGATTGAGCAAGGCGAGCTTTGTGATTGACAAGCAAAGCATCTGGTTACTGATCATTGGTGGTATTTCTTTTATTTAGGCCACCCTGCATCCCGGCCAAGCTACAACCGTCCTGAGCGATCGCATTCGAGTCATAAATAAGATCAATGCGGATATCGCGGATTATCTACAGGTATGACAACCTGTGACCCGATCCGATCAGATTTCTGGAATGGGATCTTCAATGGGAGCGACATTGGTGTTGACAAATTGGCGATAGGAACGGCGTCGGGTTGAAGAAGCATATGCCCAAGGGTTACGGAAGCTGGCGCATCGGCCACAGTTGGACAATGGAGCTGCTCTTGGGTAAATTGGCCTCTCCCTGGAATATTGAAATTTTTCGGCGCCGGATGATTATTCTGACTTGCGAAATTAGCATTTTCCAAATCCCCTGGCAACGCATCATCAGTGCGACCGAAACGCTCGCTGTGTCGCACGAGACCCTTGCGAACAAGATCGAGGAGGATGTTGAACGACCTCTAAGAGAATTCAGCAGCAAGAATACAGAGATGAAGTCGATGCCCGGTATCCAGAGTGATCTGGCGGGGCTGGCGAAGAATGTGGAGACTGCGCAGAAGAAGGTGGACAAGGCCAGGGCAAAGGGTGCCAAAGGTGCAGACAAACTTGCTAGCGAGATCGCCAATGCGGAGGAAGTCCATCAGCAATGGGATTCGCGGGCCCCCTTTGTTTACGAGCAACTTCAGGCCGTCGATGAGACTCGGCTCAACCACCTTCGGGATGTGCTAACACAATTGGAGACCCACGAGGTGGATCAAGTAGAGCGTGCTCGCCAGGCCGCTGAAAGCTGCTTGAACGTCCTGCTCAATGTGGAAACGGCAGATGAAATCAAGACCTTTGCTGCGAGGATGGCGGGCCCACGGGTCCCTGTGACGCAGGCCATCCCCAGAAGACAGACTGAACCGGCAGAGACACCTTCCACAATTGAACCGGTATCTGACCGGACACCAACTGCGCCAATTCAGCCTCAGATATCCACGCCACCAACAGAGGCGCCGCTTCCACCCCCTCCACGCATCCAGGATGATGAGGCAAGCCAGCTATCAGAGGCATCTGAGAGACACGCCGTCGCTCAGACACCACCAGGTGAGTTCTACAACCGGATTATGATTCCACCGCAGATGGGGGTTCTGACGATTTATCCAGTACCAGAAGCACAGCCACGGCATACTCCCCTGGGGGGGTTGAGACGCCTTGGCACTGTCATGAACAGGAGAAAGAGCGTGGTTGTACCCTCGACTGGATCTTTTGACCGAAAGGCAGAAAAGAAGCGCAGTCCCTTTGCTGCGTTCAAGAGAGCCGACTCCTCTCGCGATCTGCAAATACCTGAATCTCCGCCCGCAACCGCCACTGACCGTCCGGGGACATCATTTACGGATCAATCATCATTGCGGAATCCTAGTGTGTCACAAGATCGCACTGGATTAGATGCTGCCGCAACTACGCCTGAAGTACACACAGAGAACCCCACAAATGGAGCTGCCCCGGAAGTTCTCGGGCTCGCCAATAACCATGTCAATCAGGTGAATTACCAACCAGCGATTTACAAATTAAAAGTGCAACAACCACTGACTATTTTTTTTATTTAGCCACAGGTGGATTCAGAAGGGTTCACCCAGCGCCCTGCAACAATCGACGAGATCACGCGTGCCCAGAATGAGGCAGCCGGGTAGGTGAACTTGTGCCAATGGTGATGAACGAATGCTGACAAGTATCACTACAGCCTAGATGAGTCTGGCTTGAATTTGACTATTCGAGACCAGCCCATCTTCGAGGATGAGAGCCAAGCGAAGCAGGCTATGGATGATATGGCAAATACTCTCCGAATGGTTAGTGACAGGCCTCGTCACTCCCCAGACATGGTGTATAATACTTACTTTGCTATACAGCGGGCTCCACAGCCAGGAATCAGACGCAATGCAGGCACTATCCGCGGACGCCGTGATGTTCGCAACACAGTGTTTATTGCTTCCCCTGGCAATGAGCTTCCGCCATCATCGGCAGGATCGGAGTCCCAGCCCCCAACCTCGCCAATCAGGCATATGACCTCCCCGAGCATTGCCCCCAGCACTGCTACGGATGATTACACTATGTCAGATACTACGTCTGTTCGCTCTGGACACGCTATGCATGGTCCGGGAGCTTCAGTCCATCCTGATTTATACGAATCGGGCTTGAATGCTTCAATCATTGAGACCGTCAACGCATGGTTCTCGGAGGGCAATGTGACCAAGTCCTTCGTTGTTGGTGAGCTTGCTCTAGCACACAATCCTACAACTGGTACTGCGGTGGACCATACCCGCATCCGACTTGATAACTTCCAAGTTCTGGAAAAGGTAGCGGCCAATCCACACTTTGTCCAGGAGGTTGCCAAAGAAGCTGGCGATGACAAGAGAGGCGAATACGATCTCCAGCTGGGCACCATCTCCCGCCCCATGCCAACAGTCGCATTCAAGTATCAACTGCATATCGACCCAACCAACCCCTCTGCCTACTGCCCCGTGATATTCAAGCCAGTGTGGAACTTAGAAGAATCACAGGCTAGCGCCATCATCTACTATACCCTCAACCCATCATTCATCGCCCACACAGCGGAGTCAATTACCCTGAAGAACCTCGTCTTGACTATCAATTTGGACACCGCCACCCAGGACGAAACTACCAAGCAGCCGCGCGAGTCAGTCGCTCACGCCATCAGCGCCGCCATGTACCCCAATACCGGCGCCACATTCCGTCGCAAGACGTCCACCGTCACATGGAGAATCCCCGAGTTGGAAGTCAAGGCCCCCACCACCCCAGGCGCAGAAAGCAAATTCCTCGTCCGCTTCGTGACGTCCACCCCCGGACCCCGCAAGGGTACCGTCGAAGCAAAGTTCGAGCTTCGTGGCGCCGAATCTGCTTCTCAGCTGGGTATCAGCCGTGCTGCCTCCGATGCAGAGCAAAAGGAAGCCGACCCCTTCGCCGACGAGGGCCGTGAGTCCCCGCTGTCCGCGGCTTCATGGCTGGGTATCCCGACTACCCGCAAGTTGATCGGTGGGAAGTATGTCTCTTCCTAAGTATGTCTCCAATGTTGAGCAAGGCGGGATGGAGCTACCCGCGCCTGGTCGTATATCCCCTCCATGCAATTGTTGTTCTGTTATTTGTCCACTGTTTGGATCATATGTGTCAGCATAGGCATCCCTACAGATAGGGCGTCAAATCGGAAGCTCAGGATGATGCAATTACTTCTTTTTTCCCTTTGTTTTCTTTCTGCATTCCGCTCCCAGTCTCTTGTGTTGCGAGTATTCCCTTTTGCAAATAACGATTGTGTTATGAATTTTTGCGTTTTCTGATCGATTTGGATGTTGTTTTGTGTAGGTATACATTTGCCTCGCGTACATATACATCGGATTTTAGACCACGGGAGATGGCTTTCCCTTTCCGTTTTAGTGCTCACCCCTTGCCACCTTTTGATCACTAAGTAAAACTGAGCATGCCCCTAAGTGTTATATAAGCATTTAACTCGCTCAATTGATCATTATATAAGCCGGGTGGACTTACGCGACGCTAAAGCGGCGCTTACCCTAGACTCACCTAAGCGACACCCACCCGACTACTAGCGGTATATAAGCCCTAGGAGTTCAGTGCGCTTGAATTACAATAAGCCTTGATGATTTAAAGCAGCGATTACTATTCATGAGTGCGCGCGATTCGGGTGCTTTGCGTGAAAAGATAAGGCACTCTCGCGCGCGAGCGTGGCTAGATGAAACTCGGTGCCCCTTTACCACATATAAAAAGCGCCATATCACCCCTAGGCACTTTTCCTACTTCAACCTTAGTATACACGAAGAACAAAACTCTAACTCCTCGTTAAGGAGAATGCTAGGCTTACTATATCACGTGGCTTTACTCTCGAATACTAGAAGGTAGTTGCAAAGAGATACTAGTTGTCAGGCTAGTCCTGTTGGTCAGGCGAGTTGAACAGTGGGGGGAGCCATGAATGAATTGCGCAAGCTATGTAGATTTGATATTTTTAGGTATTTATAGTGAGAGACTGAGAGTCAAAAACAGATTCCCCTATGTATGCACACGAATTATTTTCCAACCCGTATTATAACACGCTGTACAAATATAGTGCCCCGATAACAATAAAATTTCAATCTTTGTCCAACAATCCGATGGCGAAACAGCCCAAGTCAATCCATGGATGTATTAGCGGTCTAAGGTCCCGGTTTCTGCCCGTTCGTTCAGCACCTTAATCTAGATCAACCTTCTTTCTTCCTCAGCGGTAGCTAGTCAGAATCGATGCATCTCCTCTACCTTTTTCTTTTCTTCCTTTCATCTTCCTTTCCCTTATAATGGTTCACCCAACCGAGAAAAATTCATTCCGGGCTTAATCAAGGTATAAGGAACTCCTTATTCGTCTAACTCTAAAGGTGTTCGAGAATTGTTATATTGAGCTCGCTGATAGCTTCCCTTTGATCGAAGACTCTAAGGGAGAGGTAACTTAGATAACAGACCGGTCTCGCAAATCTAGGGCATGCGTTGTAGCGACATGCTACGTAAAGTATCAACGCCTCTAAGAGGCAGAGTAGGAGCTAGACAAGAAGACTGCCGGAAGATTTGGAGGTCATTTGCAACCCTCTGAGTATGAAGAGTCGTAGATTAGTACCGAATAGCCGATATCATGAAGAATAGAGGCGTGCGCAAGAAGAATAGATAAAAGCTCACAATATTGAGTTGAAAGCTCCTAGGACCCAGATCATCTTCCCACCTAAATATGGATATACGACACCGAGGATCTACGCCCCTTGCGTATAAAGATCTTATGATGCAAATACCTAGTTCCGATTTGTAAGAAAATCATGAAATACATAAATAGGCCCAAAGCCTGAGGACAGGCCCTTTTGCCAGGTTCCTACCACGAACAGTCAGACGAAGCTTTGCTGGATATTGAAAGCCTATAAAGGGCAAAAAATGGCTAGTTCTTCACTTACCCGCTGTTCTCCATAAGAAATCCATATACTCAAGACAGTCCCTGCTGTGTAAAGTATTCCTGCTGCCAGTTGTATAATCTAATGCAATTTGAAAGAACTCGATATTTTAATCGTTATGGCTCCAATCCCGAGTGTGAAGAGCAGGAAGCCAACAATCATGAATACACCATGTACTGCCGCGATCGATATTCTGTACAGAATTGATACAGAGTCGGTGCCACTTGAGATGAAAGGGAAAGATACACCTGGTGCTTTGGGAATCGTATCCTCAGAGTACATTAAGGCGGAATTTTTCAGGTCGAGGTGGAATCGTCCTAAAGATGCCAGCCAAAATTGCGTGGCATCAGTGATCTTCCCTTCATTGTGTTTTTATACACATCAAAGGCAGTATCTATCTTACCATACGCGTCGTGCAAGTATATTGGATAGTCTATATCGTTAGACTGAACCTTCTCGTCGTTGTTCTTGGCCCATATCCAAGGCTGCTGCTGGGAATCTGTATCTAAAGAACTACCCTGCCATTTGTTGCACGCAAAGTAAATGAGATCGATGACGTTATTTCCGTAACGGTCTTTGTATCTATTCCTCACAGTAAAATTAGGAGTTGTATCTGTGACCCGAGGCGGGATATGGTTCCTAGTGAAATTATGTTATTGAGGTGATCAGTAATTGCAACGTGGGAGGGGGGATATTGGCCATACACTGTAGTCCTAAGACTGACGGTCATGTCTATTTCAAACTTTTATATCAACGAGGTATTCATGAGTCTGGTTTATCTATAACGTACCATCGCCTTCAATTGTCCCGGGATACATCACAAACACCACTCATCCGCTCCCCAGCCCCAATGGCTCCCCACCCCCTTTTGCTTTTGAAGGAAGCCAATAAGGTAAGATACACACCATTTGCTTGAGATGTTGCGTTGTAAGAGGAGAATACCCCCACACAGAAGCTCAGACGGCTTGTCTCCTACTCATCGGTGCAATATTGCACTGTATTCGCAGCAGAGAGAAAACGAGCAACAGCAATAGAAACAGAAACTTCATTGCTAGTACGTGCCTATAGGCAAAATGAATGAGATAAATTCGGCCAAGCCGAAAAAAGGGAAATCAGTAAGTTGTCCAGTCCAGAATCACACTTGACTAAATCAGTGTTAGCGAATTATGATCACACTGAAGATAAGACACAAAACAATCTCATAACATTTTTGCGAGGTTACATACGTCCTTATCAAACAAACAACTGAACATTGATCTATAAGAATGGATGATTCTTGGCCTTTGGATTATTTTCTCAGGAAACCCTCAACCTCCCTCCACATTCTATTCTGCTCATCGCACGCCGGTTGGTATTCCAACGAAAATCAAAATCATGTTGCACACCGAGACCTTTCACTTATACTCATACTACTGCTCGTCATGCTGTCAACGGATCATCATCGCCGCTCATCTTAAGGGTATCCCCCTTAAATTCACCTACATTGACCTTGGGGCTAGAGCGCACACTACTGAAGAATACAAACAATCCAACCCTAGCGCTAGTGTGCCCAAATTGGTGGTGACTAGTGAGACTGGCGAAATTACCACTATCCGCTAATCTATGACTATTCTTGAATATTTTGAGAAGTTCCCGAATACTACTCCACTTTTCCCTCCCGCATTACGGGATCGGGTGCTAGTGCGCGATCTAGTGAATGTTATCGCTATCGATACGCAACCCCCACAAATTCCCGTATAGCGCAGCGAGTGAAGTCCATTCGAGGAAAGCTCGATGACTAGGTCGATTTCGTTAAACAGGCCTTCACCGACGGATTCCGGGCCTATGAGAGCCTGTTGATAAAGCAGGCTGGAGAGGGGAATTTTTCTTTCGGTGGCTCTTTCTCTATGGCGGATGTGGTTTTGGTCCCCGCAGTCGATCAGGCTTTGATGTACCGATTGGATTTGGATATTGTGCCTAATGTCAAGCGGATTTATCTAGCCCTTAAGGAACTAGGGCCTTTCAAGGCTGCGGATTGGCGGAATCAGGGGGATACACCGGAGAAATTTCGCATCCAGGACTCTTGCCGCTAACAAATTGATATTTAGGAAAGAAATAGGGTTCCCTTTCTAATTTCACTAGTAAAAAATTGCCACCTATTATTTAAATGATATGATATAGAACTTTAAGGAAAATAGCTTTGAGCATCAAAACCTTAAGAGCTGACGCCCATCGTGGGCGCGACGCCGATGCCCCGCTCTCGCGCTGCCATTGTGGCGCATTCTAAAATAAGTGACGCCAAAATTAGTCTTTCCCTTTTGCATTAGCGAGGTAGCGGCGTGACGCCTGCGCTGCGCACCTGGCTGTTTTGCTGTTGCGAAGAAATGCGAGAGGCAGAGATACATGTTCGAACGACGGTTAGACTATTGGGATGCTTCTAATGCTACGGAAATATGGACGAACGTGACGAATATCGAATGAAACATTATTCTCGCTATAAGCACCTTTTACGTCATTTTAGAGCCACGCTCTGAGCCTCTGAATGACCGTCACTGCAACTACTGCAATAAGATGGTTGAGCATGAAATAGAGTTGAGGCAGCATACGCCTGCATGAGCAACACGGAGCCTTCTTCCTTACGGAGCCCTCTTCTATATGTGGATTTTGCTTGATTTTGCTTGAAGAGGGCGGCAATGGTAACGGTTGCTACGGAGACCCGAGTCGGGTCACCCGATTGCTAAGCCAAAACAGGGGTGGCAAATGGGAGATATCATTGGCAAGCTAGATGTTTGGCTTCCGTAAACAAAACCATCAATATTGGGGGGAGGTTATTATAGCCTGGTGTGGCACATCCAGCCTTGATCTCTTTCGCCTCTCTTCCTGCGGATGGAAGATATTATGGAATGCAATGATGGTTCACCATCTCTTTGTACAGCTGTGTGTGGCAATGCTGAATCCTACTTACATTCATAGCACATCACGTACCCTCCATGTTGCTGCTTGGGATGCAAATTTGTCTATCAATCTACGAAAGACAGTCGCTTGAGGAGACAACTCTTCAGGAATAAACCACTATAGAGGAAGCTTCTTTTGGGTATCTTTGTTTATGGTAGCCTGCACATCCCTTGAGAGAGATCGGGGTAAATGAGGCACAAAAAAAAGGGGGTGTATAGCCTTATACACTATCAGAAAAGACAAAGTAATACAGAACCAGATAATACAAGAGGCAGCAGCAGTCGTGTCGGTTTGATATCAGCTCCCTCACCAGTCGGTGAAGATTCTGGTGCTTGTGAAGTCGGGCTCGATCCAGATTGAGTACTAGTAGTACTACTCGGGGAGCTTTCATATTCCACAACCTGGATGTCAGTCCAGTAGCCTAGATCCTGGCATTCGGACCGATACATATCGAAGACTTCCAGTAGGTCGTCGTTTTGCATGGTGATACATTGTCTGCAGCCATCGAGTCGTCTTAAGACAGGGAGCGTACAGAAGCACTCGGCAGCCGTTCGGTTGAGTAATACGTTTCCATAGTAATCGTACCCCTCCGCGGGTACACTCGTCCGAGTTGGTGGCGGGGAAATGTCTAGGTCGACGAGACCACATTCCGTAATTTGTCCATGGATTACACCGCAGATTTCACAATCGCTATTGTAGTCCGGTGCTTCAGTCGCGGGCGGCATGGATGATAGAGTCGTAGAAGGAGAGGAGAGGGTCGAGTTGGCAAAATACCCGAACGCCTCACAGTCCTCATGATAATACCCTGCAACCTCGTTCTGGTTGGCTATTGGGGTCTCCGACTCGGGGTCGGAATAGCATGAGCCCAAACAGGCTGAGCGGGCACAGGCTTCACAGTCTGAGAGTGAGTTGATGGCTTCGGTGCAGAAGCATCGCGCTTCGTCATAGGTCGCAATCCGAGCCGTCAAGGGGCCATTTCCGAATGGGGCGTATTTCCGACCGGAGAGGTTGCGTTCGATGAGATGTTGGAACTCGTGCCAGTCCGTGTCGAGATCAGGAAGCGAGCATGATGATAAAAGCGAGGAAATTGGGCCACACTCCTGGGAACACTGCCCTCGGACAAGGGGGAGTGTGGAAAATAAAATCAGCCAAAGCA